AGAATGTGATGCCACCAACATATGGCGAGAACTGTGCGTCCGTGATTGGCGAGGCTCGCAAGTTGGGACTCAGCAGATAGCTCGGGGACATCATCCCTTCGTGGTGCGGAGTTCCAGTCACGCCCCCCAGGCCAAAGTCGGCCGTCTCCATGTAGCTCGGGAGCTGCAGCTCGATCGCGTGCTCCAGCATCTTGTCGTTGAGCAGCAGCCCGAAGTCGCCCGTCCCGATGGGAGCTAGCTGCCCGAGCATGATGTTTTCGGTGACGCCCCTGAGATGGTCCGCCTCAGCAAACACCGCCGCGTCCAGGAGGATGTCCACCGTCTCTTCGAACGAGCAGCGCATCATCGGGCCGGTGTCGTTGCGGTTGATACCGTGGCGAGTGATCGCCATGAGGTGGCCCCGGTAAGTCATGACGTCGCACAGGATGGCCAGGTGCCTGTAGTTGACGTAGGAGCCGTCGAAGGATATGACTTCCCTGAGCTCCTTGAGGAGAGCTTGCCTGACGGCCTCGATGCCCAGCACCTCAATGACTTCGATCAGATGGTTGCTGACCGTCCTCGTCGCGTCCACGTCTTCGTTGCACATAACAGCCAGCATGTTGACGCCCTCGGTGTCGAGCATCCACTCGGTCTCGGCCTTGAAGCCCTCATGCTCGTCAAACCTCTGCCTTTTGTGCTCCCTGATAAACACCTTGTGGATGTCAGGGATCCCTCGCAACGCCATCTCCGTGAGCATGTTGCTCTCGATCTTCTTCAGGAAGACGTCGTCGTCCGACTGGTCTACTTCGCCACCCTTGCTGACGTCGTCATTCATGATCCGGACCCGCAGGATCAGCTTCTCTGCGTTGTCGTCGTTGAAGATGCACGTCAAGTCGTCCACAAACTCGAGGTTGATCTTCTCGGCGATGTCTGCCATGCTGAGTTTCTTGTCAACCATCATCTCGCGATTGAGCTCAATACGCAGTAGCCAGGGAGAGATCTTGTCCGGAGTGACATCTTCGTCTGGCATCTCGTAGTAAGACTTGACAAACTCCACGTCCTCCTCAATGATGGTGCTCATCGGATCTGGATCATACCAAATCTCCGTCGCCTGCGTGACACTTCTCAGCGTCGTGTACTCGAGCGCGCACTGCACATTCTTGGCCCTCTCCTTCTCCTTGCTTACTTCAGGCTTCAAGTGAACATACAGCGACGGCGTCTTGATCTTCTTGGCCACGTTAATAATCTCCCTCAGCCGGGGAACACCGAGAGTGACGTTCTTCGCACTGACACCAGCATAGTGGAAAGTATTCAGCGTCATCTGTGTAGCCGGCTCGCCGATGGATTGAGCAGCCACGCACCCGATCATCTCCCCGGGTGCCACCAGTGACTGCAAGAACCGCGTCTCGATCTCTCCAATGACCCACTCAAAGGCCTCCTTCGTCAACCTGTACTCCTTGAGAACACGCTTGCTGGCAAACGTGCTACGAAGTAGACAGTTGAAGAACAAGGTGGCATTCTTCTGAGCTTCGATACTGATCGGGTCGTCACCAGGCACCACCAGTAGCTTCTCCTGCAGCTTGTCCACTGCTTCCACAATCTCCATAGGATGCATGTCCGATGGCTTCTTCATTTCAATCTTGAAAATCTTCTGCGCGTTCCAAATGAGACGCTTCAGATTGACCGGCAAGGGCCACTGCGGGTCGCCAGAAGTCGCAATCTCCAGACCGAGTTGCTTGCGATCGGCTTCAAGCTTCTGGACCTCGGCATCAAACACGTTGCGAATCTCCTGGATGGTCTTAATATCTTCTGCACAGTCGCTGGCCATGTAGTCCGGATTCCAGTTCTCGTTATCCACCTCGAACTTGTAAGTCATATCAAAATCCTTCTTCTTCATTTTGATGGAGTCGAGACGCTGTGATTCAATCCAAACTGCGTCCATGCCATCTTCTCCGTATAAGAACTGTATAACGTCCCCCAGCGAATTCCGAACTGTGCCATCGTATTTCACCATCACGTCTTCCATTGCCTTCACTAGACGTCTTTGGATGTAACCTGTCTCCGAAGTCTTCACTGCTGTATCGATAAGACCCTCTCGACCTCCCATGGCGTGAAAGTAGAACTCCTGCGGTGTGAGACCCCGTAGATAAGAATTTTCGACGAACCCCCTACTCTCGGGGCCGTAGTCATCCTTTGTAAAATGCGGGAGCGTTCTGTCGATGAAACCGAACGGAATTCGTTTCCCTTCAACGTTCTGCTGTCCCACACAAGCAATCATCTGGGATATGTTGATGAACGAGCCCTTCGATCCAGCGGTCACCATAGCTTTTACGTTGTTGCTCTCAGACAAGCTTTTCTGAGCACTGCTTCCGGCTTCATCACGAGCTCTGTTAAGGACCTGCATAATTATAGGTTAGTACGAGAAGAATAAAAAAGGAGGAGAAAATTCACCTGATTGACTCTGTTTTCAAAAGACTCCATCATTGTTCGACCGGGCTGAGACTCTAGCTGCTTCTCTTGCGCCATTTTAATCAGGTCTTTCACTTCGTTCTTGGCCTTAAAGATAGTCTCATTAATCTTCTCCATGGTTGCAGAGTCAGCAATTGTGTCTCCAATACCAATGCTGAAACCGTGTTGCAGCAACCAATAATTGACAAGCCACTGTGTATGACCCAAAAATTTGCGAGCAGCATCAGGCCCGACTTCCTCCCTGAAATGTATAAAGTTAACGTGAAACTCCGAGACAGAAAGAAAGGCTTACCATATGACGTGAATCAAACTACCAGACGATGTTCCTAATGTCTTTTTACAGAGTGTGCCAGTCAGGAGTTCGCCCTTCTCGATGCGCACCATCGTGTCACCAGGAGAATTATCGCCCGTTTCACTGTCATTATGCCAGGCAGCAGTTCGCACCATATTGATTTGCTTGGGAATAATCAGACTAAAAATCTGCTTTCCAGTCCATATTGGCCTTGGTTTGACAATTGCTGGAGTCGGCACTTTCCCATCAAAATCTTCCCACCACATCAGGATGTTCATGAAAACGTCCTGCAGACAGAAGATATCAATGCCAGGCTTCAGACAGCAAGACAACAAAATTACCTTTTCAATAAAAGTATCCCTCTTGGTTACTTTTCGACACCCAAGAAGTGTGTCCTGGACGATTCCAATAACGGGTCTGTTCGACTGCGGAGACACTATACACTTGGGAACGATCATGAGCTCTGAGACCTCAGCCCTGGTTTCGAAAGACTGAGGCACATGCATGTTCATCTCGTCCCCATCAAAATCAGCATTGTATGGACTCGTCACGGAGAGATTAAGCCGAAACGTCGAGTAAGGCATTATCCGTATTCGGTGTCCCATGATTGACATTTTATGCAGACTTGGCTGCCGGTTAAAGAGCACAAAATCGCCGTCGCATAAGTGTCTCTCAACCTACATTAACAAGAAAAATAAGAGACTGCAGCGACAAAAAATCCATTACCTTGTAGCCAAGTTCCAAGTGCCGATCACTGCTCTTTTTGAGATACCTTAGATCCAGACGCTGACCATCTTCTCTAATGATATACTTTGCACCTGTTTTGCCAGGGGGTGGATGCGGCCCATATTCCACCAGCTCTTTCAATCTGGTTCATAAAAGGAAAAGGTCAGAGATAAACACAATGAAAGAATTGCTCACCGTTCGAGGTTATATGGAGTCACAGTTTCTGGATAAGTCAAGTTCAACGCAATACTCCATGGCACTCCTAGCTCGTCAATATTGATATTCGGATCCGGGGTGATAACTGT